TTCTCCCAATCAATGTCTTCTGGTATTTCCTCCCAAATAAACTACTTGTACTTGAATCCTTGTCTCAAGGTGTGCCTCTGCAGAAAGCAAATTAAGACATCTCTAATACCATGTGAATGTAATTCTCACATCTTGTTTATAATCTAAAGGTCCATTGTACATAAGAAATTCACCAAACATAGGTATGTTTATGTCCCTTATATTTTTCCTCAGTTTCCCTATAAGATAAAGAAAGACTGCATTGCTTTAAAAGCTACAAACCACAAGTTAAGTTCAGTGATATATTGAGTTTGCTCACTGATTTCTTCTATAAATTGAGGATAATGATGATTAAACATATAACATTTTAAAATTTGCAAATAATCTATTTGCCATGTATTTTATTAGTTGATATCTATTCTTGTTTTAAACTCTCCCCTCCCCCCCAAATTTGTCAGAAACATATTATAGCAACCAGATTCCATGTTAGTTTCATAACTTGCCTAAAGCATCATAGTGATACTGATAAAAGTACAGAAGACCTGTTTGGGGATTCTTAAGCTGCTTGGGCACTAACTAGTCTCCTCTGCTAAGAAGGGGAAATTTGCATGCTTGAATTTGCTGTGGATTTCTCATTAATCAATTCCCTGAAAACACTTTGGTTCACCTCTGGCAGACCTTTCTTCCCCAGCACATGAAAGATGGGCCTGACAGGAAAGAGAGTGCAACCCACCTAATTAAATGAAAGAGATTCATAGAAACTATGTGACAAGAGAGAATCAGACTCCTTGGCTCCTCGGGTTAATTAGTTAATGAATGCCTGGACAGGAACTGAGTCACATTATCGATGCAGACTTCTGTTCCTACCACACTATGTGAATACAGAAACATTGATTCTTGGAACCTAAGCTTACACTGAATCCTTAGCTTGACATGGAAATTTGTTCAGCCTATCTCTACAGTCTTCTTGCTGACCATGTTCCACATGCACTACATATCCTATCTAGTACACTGTATCCTTTAGCAAAAAGAGAAACCAGGGGAAAAAGTACATGCCAATGCTTTATTGAAGGGGACTGAAGCATGGCAGAAGATGCCACCTCAAAATATGCTACTTTGACATAAGGATTTTTGAGCTAGACACTTGAAAAACAGCAGGTGCAATAATGACTCTCTGACCTCCCTTTTCCCCCCCTGAAAGCAGATCAAACTCCCAAATGAAACATGTCCTCCCTATACCAGGAGAAAAAAAAATAACATTCTTATCACTTTGAGGAATACATAAAAATAGACCTTGTTAAACTAATATCTTTCTAGCCGCTTCTCTATTCAATTAACTACCGGATCCAATAACCCCTCTGCCTTGTCATATTTTCTGAATCCACTACTTTTTGTCCAATTCAGTATTGGGAGTTAATTCTCAATGGGTATCTCAAATTTCAGCATATCTTGTGAGTAGGAGCACTGACTTCTTTTGTTCTAGACTGATTATCTTTCAAAGGATGTTTATTTAGAAAACAACCTTGGAAGACGAAGACGCATCCCTTCAGAGCAAATGGTAGATTTGTTTACAGTACAGTTTAAGATAACATCTCCCATCTAGGCAAAGGTCAAGAAGAGGGATCCCTAAGCACCCGGTTCCTCTCCTATAACACACTTCATTAAGTATGAAAGAGTCGCCTGGCCCTGTATGCATTATCCTGTGTGATTTGGGACTTGGGGAACTAGCAAAAATGTTGATGCTCTGTCCACTGCTGTTTTGTGAGTAATAAAGGACTTTAGTCTTTAACTCAGAAATGTTGTTTTCTGCCAGTGTCCATGAAACTGTTATTACTTTAAACTTGTAATTTTATTATTTTCTGATTTGTGTTTTGATTAGACGTCAGTCATATGTTATTTTTTGTAATGGTGCCCAAAGCATGATTCCAAAATAATGTCTGTGTTTGCATGATTCTCTTATGAACCATACAGTCAGAGCCCATAAAAATATAAGCTACTGAGACTTCATTAAGTTTTCAGAGCAGGTTTCATAACAGTTTTTATACTTACTTATTGACAAATGTATATATATAAGTATATATATATATATATATATATATATATATATGAATTTGGTTTCAGGATTACTTTCTTTATAAACCAATAGGGAGATTTTGGGTGGAATTTCTGGTCTATAAATATGTCCAAAAATTGGCAGATACCACTGTTCAAAAAATCCCCAAATCGAACTTTCATTAGCTTAGGTACTTTTTAACAATGTAGCCAATGGTATAGAATCATCTTGGGAGATAAATGAGATAAGCAATAATACGAAAAGAAAAAAAAAAGAAAGAAAGAAACATTTCAAAAAGGCCTGTAGGATCATAGCTATTACATGGTAATAATTAGCCAGTAAGAGAAAGGCTGAGAATTGACCTCTGAATTTGGCAACGTGGAGGTCATTGTTAATGCCAATAAAAACAACCTCTTTGGACTGAATGAGGACAAAAAGTATGATTGGAATGGGTTTAGGGGAGTGGGAAGTAAATATCATATGAGTAGGTGAATATGTCTTATGACCTTACAGAGAGCATAAGAAATGAGAGCCAATTTTTAGGAAAACAAAGCAACAACTCTTTGACATTTCTTATGATATCAGTCTAAGTCTTGACAGGAAATAAAAGCCACACTCAATATGACTTAACTGAAAAGAACACAATGAAGGGACTATTTAGAGGGGTGTGGGTACCATTAAGGGAAGCTGGGTGAGTAAAAAGCCATTACCATTTTAGGCCTGAAAGGGCACTGGAAGGAAATGAGACCCATGAGAGTTGGAACCATGGAAAAGAGACCTCTAGACAGGCATTGTATTAAAAAACAAACAAATAAACAAAAACCCCAAAACACTGTATGGCCAAATTTTTAGCCTAGCATCGGGGGAGGGGAATGGAGTACATAGTTGACATCTCTCTCCTCCCTTGTTTTGATCTCCTGCCAGTGCTTTGCCTTGGTGGAACTCAACAGGAAGCCACAAGGCAAGGAGGCCCTGGTCATGTTTTCATAAATGTGAGCCTCCCATGGCCAAGCATGACAGAGAAGTGGACAATGGATTTGAGAAGGGAAACAGAAAATACAATACACTCTATGACCACAAGAAGTTTAAAAAAAAAAAAAAAAACAGTCACTAGAAAGCAAGGGACTTAAATATCCCCACAAAAGTACCTTTTAAAAATATTACCTCTTTCCTAGTAACACGACTGGGTGTTGTGTCTAGCGCAGGGATTGTTAAGCTTTTTTTCTGAAAAGGGTCCAATAATACATACTGTAGACTTTGAGACCTAAGTGGCAACATTGAAAATATTATGCTTTATCTATATGATCACTTAAAACGTGACCAGTTAAACACATAAAAAGCAGCCATTCAAACCCAATGGGGTGGATTTCACCTGTGGGCCATGGTTTGCTACCCTCCGGCTCAGCAAGTCTTCTCCTAAATGTTTGCTATTGAAGGTCTGCTTATTTTTCAATGTCAGGTCCAAATACAATCTCTTCCATGTGGCCTCTCATATTGGGACTCTGAGCTGAGTGGCAGAAAAACCATCTTTTACCCTGTTAAAGATAGTAAAATCACTAGTTTAAATGGTAGATTCCAGAGTCCAGGACCTGCAGGAACCCCAGCTGCTCCAGGGACCTTCTGGCTTGCTACTGTGGTATCATCAGAACATGTCTTCTTCATCTCTTTTATCTTCCTTACTGTCTTCATTGTAGCTTCACTTTCTATTAGTGAGGACACACCTTCCCCACAGATGCTTATCTGGCCCAGTTCATGTAACAACCTAGGGAGGCATTCTGCTTGACCTGTCTTGGGTCACCCACACCCAACCTTAGCTGACAGTGTGTGGGTGGGAGAGGAAGGAAGAGTGACAGAGGCCAGAGGTTCTATGATTACCCCAGCTTGGGAGAGGAGCCACTCCTGAGGCATTCTGTTGCCAGGAAACGGCAGACAGATGTTGCCTATTTCCGGGAGACAAAAGTCACAATGGCAGTCTAGTCCAATGTGTGACGTGCCACGGGGAAGAGAGAGAGATTTCTGACACGGTGTTATCAGCCTCGCGGTGCCTCCCTTCGCCTTTGATAGACATTCCAGCGTTTGGATGAATGAATGACTCAGTCCCCCCAGCTGGTGTGCATTGGCCCAGATTTCCATCAGCTGCTCTCTAGTTGTATTAGAGATTTATTTTTATTTTAAATGCACATGCCTTCTCTTTCCTCTAATCCCAGGAGGCAAAGAGTGGAGAGAGAGAGAGGAAGAGAGAGAGAGAGAGAGAGAGAGAGAGAGAGAGAGAGAGAGAGAGAGAGAGAGAGAGAGAGAGAGAGAGAGAGAGGCCACAGGAAGCATCTGCGGAAATCTCAGCCCCAGAATGCTGACAGTGATGATTCTATTCTGATGACCCTTGAGGCCCTCCGCTGAGGCCCTCCGGACACAGACCCCCCCCCCGCCCCCGTCCCAAAGACGCGACCCTCGGGTGGGAGCCAGGCGGGTCCGGGGGCGCAGGGGGCCCCTCACCCCCGGCCTCAGGCGCGTCACCCCGCACAAAGGAGACGGCGGCGGCGGGGAGGCGGCCGCGGGAGCCCGTCGCCGCTCGCCAGCCACTTGCAATTGCGGTTTCAGACCTGCAGCTCCCCTCCCCTCCCCTCGCCTCCCCGCCCGCCCGCCTTTCTGTCTCCTCTCCCCCGCCGTACTGGCCGGCGCGAGCCCATTTCCGGGAGCCGGGGATTTAGGACCAGCCCGGGCCGGGGGCGTGGGAGCAGGTGGTTGCAGCGGGGCAGCTGGGCCGCCTGCCCGGGGCGTTTGGGGGGACCCCGTCTCTCTCCGCCTTTGTCGCCCGCACCCGCCCGGCCTCGCCCTCCCTCCCGCGGGCCGCGCGCGCTGCCGCCGGACTTTGCGCCGCGTCGGGCGCTGCGGGTGCGCGCGGGGCCGCGCTCGGGGCGGCGGCGGCGGGGAAGCGGGTGGCCGGGGGCCGCCCAGACCCCGGGCCGACATGGCTGAAGTCAGCATCGACCAGTCCAAGCTGCCGGGAGTGAAGGAAGGTAGGGCTCGGGGCGTGGAGCGAGCGCTGGGGGCCCCCTCTCTTTCCAGCCGCGATCCCGGGTCCCCCGCGGGCAGGGGCGGCGTCCTGCGGGCCCCGCGGGCCTCGCCTCGCCCGGCGCCCACCTGGTGCCGGCCGCCCTGCCCCGGCGGGGAAAGGGATTTTAGGATTTTAGGCTCTGCCCCGGGACCTGGGGCAGATAGGTGACTGGGGTTCTAAGCCTCCCTGTGTTCCTGGGTGAGAGGATGGGGGTGGCGGGGTGGATAGCACCACCCGCATCAAGTGGTTGTGCAAAATATTCTCGTGGATCGCCAGGAGCTGGGTCTTCTTATTCGACTTTCCTTGAGTTCTTAAAAAAAAAAAAAAAAAAAAAAAATCCAAGGCCCAGCCTAGTGGGCTGGGAGGCTAGGACTTGGGAAAGGGTTGACATTCAGTTCTCAGTGGAGTCTTTTGTTTTGAAACTTGATCTTTTTCCCTCCTTCTCTTGACTTTCCTAGCCCAGGAGTCTGGCTTGACTTTCCCACCTTCCCTAAAGGTTTAAAAAGTGGAGGCTTGGCACTGCCCGCCATGGCATGGCATATGGGAAGCTGCTATAAGCATTTTCTTGCAAAAAAAAAAAAAAAAAAAGCACTGAGCTAGAGGAAACGAGGGACCTACTGGTGACCTTGATTTTTTTTTTTTTTTTTTTTTTTAATGGCTTCACTAGACTGATGTGCAGAAAAATAAAGCCTTGGTTAGGACTGATCTGGCCTGGCTACCAGCAAAATAACCCTTTGAACTTTCCTTGTTTTTATCTCCTGTCCCAAACACCTAGCATTTTTTTTTTTTTTTTTTTTTTTTAGATTGAGATCATGGGTGCTGGGTCGCCTTAACCTTTAGTTAGGTTAAGTGGGTTTGGCTGTTCTTTGGCCCTAGAAAGTATAGAAGTTCCAGAGTGCTATCTGGGCTTGCAAAGGTCGCCTTTGTTGTGGCTGTCATTTATTCCAAGGGAGCATTGTGGTCTGAAGTGTCTTGGGGACTTGGAATTGAAAAGAAGAACCTTTGCTTTCTTGAAACTGTGTGTTTCTTTGCCAACTTGACTCGACTCCTGTGGTCTTATGGGTGCTCAGGTCAGACTCCCAAATCCCAAGAAAGCTTGACTGTTTTGTTTCCCAGAGATCCAAACCAGAGGAGACCGAGTGGCTGGTTTTATGTGGAATTTTTAATGGGGCAAGGCCTGGGCCTGTCTTTTTGTTCCTGAAGGATATTAGAGCTTAGGCCTGCAATCTTAACAGCAGTATTTTTCAACCTTTAGTTCCCAGGCTGGCTTAGGTGAAGATGATGGCATTCACATGTAAATCATTCACTGCATTGACAAGCCTGAGTGATTAGGAAAGGCAAATCACTTTGAAAGTCTTTGAGCTTTTCTGTTTGTCTTTAGCCTTTTGGGTCTGAGTTTGTGTGTGTGTGTGTGTGTGTGTGTGTGTGTGTGTCCTATGTCAGTGCTGTAAGGAAAATGACCCTTGTTTATTGTGCAGTGCTTCCTTGAGGAGGGTGGGTGATGAGTAGAATGACAATCGGAGTTCCAACACAACCTTAACATGTGAAGTATTATATAGCGCCACACATTACGTACCAGTGACCTGGAAGGAACTTGAAACTTACTTTATAAGTATACATTTATATTACTCTTAGGTCTTCTGGTTTCTAACCAAGACATGAATTATGTATTCTACTATATTCATTCTCAAGGGGTTCAGCAAACACTTCCATCTAAAATTGCGAGGTTTTTCTATTGCTAAACCTTGGAATTTAACACATGTGAATTGACTTGCAAGACACATAATACGGTGTTTGTCAACCCAGTTTGCGTAACATGGTAAAGTGGTTAGGAAATTTAGTGTGGCTTTTTATTAAGCTAAAATTAAATATTGGTTGATTTTGAAGGTGGTCAGAAATTGTTGAGAAGATCACTGTCTTTGTAAGCATCTGACCTTTCTGGTTCAAAGATCATCAAAGGAAATTATGTATTACATACTAGCAATGTCCTAATGGTGATGTAGTTTTTGATCTGGAAAGTATTCAAGCCTAATAAAATGTATCTTTCTCTAATATAACTCTTAATTATGGCCCAGTTACTCCCTAACAATATACTCGAACCCTAATTAGAGAGAATAAAGATGTGCTTTATGATTGGGTAAAACATACACAAACATTGAGACTGTACTTAATATTTAAAACTCCAGGTTAGTTTGAAAAGGAAGCTTAGTTTGCTGGCACAGAGTTTTAAACCCCATTTTAAAAAAACCTATCTCCTCCACTTTTCTTTTTCCAATCTAAACCTTTGGTAGGTTTATGTACAAGTACAATTTGGGATCACGGGGTTGCTTACAATAGAGATTGAGAATAATAACGCAGTGGGTGTCAGCCCTTTCCCCACTGCATTCATTCTTTAGGAGGGGGAGAGGAGCCCTGTGACCTTTGTTGTGAACATCTCAACAGAGATCATGGGTAGCAACTGACATGAGGGGAAGGGAATATTTGAACATTTTCTTTTCTAGGTTAAAGTCCAGAGCTTGTTTACTTGGTTGTAAGGCAATCAAAGATAGTCATCATTTGGACAGACCTTTAAAAAAAAATTAGGGCAATGTTTTTATCTTGGAAGTCTCTTAAAATAGGAGACAAAGGGACACAGTTGAGTTCATATGCAAATGAAAAGAATTTAGTCTAAGTGTCAGCACACATCATTATTCCTGGTTTGAAAGCATTTTGGAACATCTGCATACTTTCCGTTGTAGAAATACCATTGCCTGTGTTTAGGAATAATGCTTTATTTCTTCTGAAATATTTGAGGTTCTATGCCACAAGATTTGAAATCTAGCTATTTTCTTATGAGTAGATATATAACTCAAATGCATCATGCAATGTGTGAATGTTAGACAAATGTATGGTCTGTTTCCAACAATAATATGAAAGTTTCTTAGTTTAGATCAGAGCTGGGAACATTTTTTTCTAAAAATGAGCACTTTTCATCAGTTAACAAACTTAGATTTGTGGTCAATTTTAGCTTCCTTGCTGAATTGTTTTTCTGAAGCAATAATCTAGAAACCCCACTTTCCTTTTTTGCTCTCTCCACTTAATTTGAATTGTTTACTTTTGTAATCTTGTCTTTCCCCCATCTTTTGGTTTAAGAGCATTTGCATGTTCATCAAAGCTATTTCTAGACCCCTTTAAACTATTAACTCCTTTGCTTTTTTCCCTACTTTAGACATGTAGCACTTATAATTCTAACCCTCTCATCCTCTCCCAGTGCCAGTCTTCATTTTTCTTTCCTTATAGCAGTAGGAATTTTATTATGTACCAGAGACCCGGTGCACGAACTATGAGCACAGGCGAAGGAGGTGTCCCTCAGCCCAGCCTGTACCCTCTGCAATCTGGGGCCCCTTGATGGATGTCCGACTGCCCGTTTAGGCCTGATCCCGGTAGGATCAGGCCTAAATGGGCAGTCGGACATCCCTCTCACAATCTAGGACTGCTGGCTTCCAACTGCTTGCCTGCCTGCCAGTCTGATCACCCCCTAAACACTCCCCTGCCAGCCTGGTGCCTAACTGCTTCCCTGCCAGCCTGGTTGCCCCTAACTGCCCTCAACTGCAGGCCTGTTCACCCCTAACTGCCCTCCCCTGCAGGCCCGATCCCTCTTAACTGCCCTTCCCTGCTGGCTATCTTGTGCTGCCCATCTTCGGCCACATGGGGCAGCCATCTTGTGTGTGGAATGATTTGCATATTACTCTTTTATTAGATAGGATAGAGGCCTGGTGGACGGGTTGGGGCCAGCTGGTTTGCCCTGAAGGGTGTCCTGGATCAGGGTGGGGGTTCCCTTGGGGCATAGGGTGGCCTGGACTAGGGACCTGTGGTGGTTTGCAGGCTGGCCACGACCCCCAGCGACCCAAGCGGAGGCCCTGATATCTGGGATTTATTTATCTTCTATAATTGAAACTTTGTAGCCTTGAGTGCAGGCCTGTGTTGCCCAGGGTGTGTGGAAAGCTTGCTTCCTCCATTGCTGGGGAAACCCAAGCCTCTGGCTCACTCTGGCCACAGCCATCTTTGTTGGGTTAATTTGTATACTTGCTCCTGATTGGCTGGTGGGTGTGACTTGTGAGTGTGGCAGAGTGATGGATAATTTGCATAATACTCTTTTATTAGATAGGATTTAGTACTCTTACTGTTCTTCAGATGGAAGTTTTCACCATCTCCTAAGTTAACTGTGTATGTGTACATAATCACATAGAGTCTGAAATTCATGCACCTAGCACTGATTTATTTCTTGAAGTACAGGTAGCCAGTTATTCTGAGAGCAAATCCTTTTTTCTTTAGTGAAAGGTTAATGTCTTTTCAGAAATACACCTAGGAAGCACTGATTCATTTTAGGTCCAGGACACCCCAGTTGCATAATGGGGCAAATTGAATTAACGGCATAAATCTAGAACTTTAAGGGGACAGTTACAAAATCATTATCTGGTGCAAAAAAGTTAACCAAGTAGTCCCAGAGGATCTAAAGCTTATCACATGCACAGTATGCATCGAATGTGATGGTAGTCTGTGAGATGTACATTATCTGGCTCCAGGGCAAAATCCCTTTCTTTTAAGAATTCTACAGCAGATTTTATTCCCTCCCTTCTGCATTTGATTTTTAGAGAGGGTGGCAGGAAGGGAGGGAGGGAGGGAGTGAAGAAGAGAGAGGGCAAAAACATCTATGTGAGAGAGACACATCATTTGGTTGCCCCTTGCAAATGCTTGCCTGATTGGGGCCCAGAGGGAACCTGAAACTCAGGTGTGGGCCCTTGACTTAGAATCGAACCCAGGACTGTTCATTGGTCAGGTCGATGTTAGGGCTGGTTGTTGTTTTTTTAATAAGAACATGGCTGGATCTCCTTGAGTTGGAAGTTTGTGTCTTAGCTTTTAATTACTATCTGGCTCTATGTATCTTTTCAGCTAGCAAATATTCATCAAATATTTGAATGT